AGATAATTGTTTTAATTTTGGCCTTTTTTAAATTTTGGCCTAGTATTGTTTTGTAAATTATGTTTTGTTTGAATATATTCTGGGGTTAAAAGGGGCAGACATAAGATTTATTCTTCTGCTGCCTTTCATTTTTTTTATTTGTATATTCTCTTTGTTTTCTATAGTATATAGTTTATTTTTTAATGGAATGAATTTTGAATTGAATTGAATTATTTTCCTCTTGTGTTTAGATGGTSGAGGAGAGCGAGGAGCGTTTGTCAGAGGAGCAGATCGAGGAGCTCCTCCAGACGGTCACAGGCATCCTGCCGGGTGACCCGGAGCAGGAGAACGCAGCCGCGGCTGACGCAGAGATGGCCGAGGGCGAAGGACAGTCGTGACGCAGCGACACCTGAACTGTGTTTTTGGAGAACTGGTGATCCAGCTAAAAATATTGYAGAAAAGCTTTTACCTGATGCTTTTCATGTGCATACCTAAAAGAACAAGATGCTGACAGACTCAGGAGCTGCCTGACCAACATTTAGACGACCTCCTGACTCATGTTAACAAAGGGAAGTTTACAGTTTAACACCCAGCTTCATTATGAGCTGTAATGCTTTTTCTGAATGTTTGTTTCAAAGAAAACCTAAAACGCATCATCAGCCTACAGAAAACGCCTAATAACATCTTCACTGATCTACACAATGTTATTTATTTCGTTTGCTCAAGTTGTATTCATTTTTAAATTGACTCAGGAACACATTCTTACTGCGCAGGTTTCTGTAAAAATGCTGTTTTTCTACCCGCTGATTTGGAAAAATATGTGCTTGTCTTGTCACCGCAGAGGAAGGATGTTGGTTTCTGTTTTGGGCTTCCTGCTCGTTTATCGCATCAGTTTCGTGCGCTCACTGAACGGGTGGTGTACAAAAAGGCAAAGGGAAGGTTGTGCAGAGTTTGGACCGCTTCTTAACAGATGGAAGTGGATGCAGAAAAGTRGCCAGGAAGCCCTATAAATGAGAGAAATGTGTTTGGGGACAGATCGTCACTATGGAAGACAATAAAATGAAGTGTACTGTACAATCRCAGCACTGCTGTTGTATTTCTTGTGTTTCGACTCATAAATGGCTTAATATTGATCTGATTTTGTCGTAAAAGGACAATGGTGTGTGCTTAGCACTATTTGGAGCACGGTTATTTAAATAAGCCTCTTTGTTTGTAGTCGGATTATTAAAAGTCAGCGAGCACTAGCTGTAGTGTTTCACTGAAGGAAAAGTGGTTTTGTACTGAACATAAGAGAACAAGTTGAAAACATTTCACCAGCTGCTACTCTTTGCAACACGTTTGTGTTGAAACACTTGCAAACTCCCTCATTTCTGTGGTTCACCATCAGTGAAGGCTCTAATGTCACACAAGCAAATCATTTAAAGGGGGAGTGTCATGCAAAATGGACTTTATTGAGCTTTATATCATGTTATGTTGTTATTCCCTCATCAAAAGCGTACCCAGAGTGTTGCTCATTCATGCATAAAGAAAAAAAAGTTGTATAGGTCCTCTGGACGGGTTCTTCTCTAATGAAACGTTTCGTCTCTCCTCCAAGAGACTTCTTCAGTCTGAGAGTTTCAGGCAAAATTCAGGCTTTTAAGCCCTGCCTCCATGTGACTGATACATCACATGGCTATCGTTGACACCTAATTAACACCCATTGTTAACAGGGGGTGGAGTGATACTGGCAATAGCAGCACTGTAGGAGGGGGACAACTGAAAACGGATGCCTCCACCTCTGTTTAATGATGGACGGTCTTTCTTCACAAAAATGKCTTCTTTTACTCCTCTCTCAAACCAACATTCCTCTCTATCAAGAATGAGAACATCCTCATCTCTGAAAGAGTGACCGCTGGCCTGTAAATGAGTGAAAACTGCAGAGTTCTGGCCATTAGATGTAGCTCGTCTGTGTTGGGACATTCTTTTGAACAGTGGCTGCTTTGTTTCCCCGAAGTATAACTGGTCGCAGTCCTCCTGGCACTTAACAGCAGTTATACATMGGGGAAACAAAGTAGCCACTGTTCAAAAGAATGTCCCAACACAGACGAGCTACATCTAATGGCCAGAACTCTGCAGTTTTCACTCATTTACAGGCCAGCGGTCACTCTTTCAGAGATGAGGATGTTCTCATTCTTGATAGAGAGGAACGWTGGTTTGAGAGAGGAGTAAAAGAAGMCATTTTTGTGAAGAAAGACCGTCCATCATTAAACAGAGGTGGAGGCCTCCGTTTTCAGTTGTCCCCCTCCTACAGTGCTGCTATTGCCAGTATCACTCCACCCCCTGTTAACAATAGGTGTTAATTAGGTGTCAACGATAGCCATGTGATGTGAGTATCAGTCACATGGAGGCAGTGCTTAAAAGCCTGAATTTAGCCTGAAACTCTCAGACTGAAGAAGTCTCTTGGAGGAGAGACGAAACGTTTCATTAAAGAAGAACCCGTCCAGAAGACCAGTACAATTGTTTTATTTTTGATTTTTTACCTGGATTACTGAGATGCATCAGGACCTCATTCATGCTTGTTTGAGAAATCCTTGAATCTCCTGTGGTAGCCATGTGGAGCTGCCTAAACACCCGCTGGTACAAAGCTCCGCCCATTTACTCAAAGCTCCTCCCTGGGGCTCAGTCTGCAGCCAAGTTCCCGCCCCACAGAGCACCCGGGCCTTGAAGCATCGAAGTGGGAGTGTCAGAAACAGTGGGAGGGGTTTTAGGAGATGGAGGCCAATTTCAGGGCATTTAGACAGTCTATGATGCAAAGTCCAATTTATTTTTGAAACRTACAGCTTTTGCAGAACAACTGAAGGTAACATGATTTGAATTATGTGCCTGTAAAATACRTAATACCCCCCTTTAAGGTTCACAGACTGGCATGAGCTGGCTTAATRGATGCTCTGCAGCTCATTTTTTACCCTGTTCAAACTCAAAATTTCTAATTAATTTGCTAGATTGAGGGATTATAGACTACAAATGCAACTAAAAAGTCACATTTCTTTTTCATTCTCACCATCAGCACACCTACTGTCCTATATGAACAAATTTAATTAATTATTGAAGCACCTTATTACTCATTCATGAACTTCAGCGGTTATTTAATGTTCTATTGATTTATTTTGTCAGTTTTATTTAACCACACTTCCTTTTGAAGTCTCAGTCCGACATGACTATCCTTCCTTGTAACTTTGTAAGGATCATAATTCGTCACTAATGATGGGTAAATTAAATGCGGCGGCTTTAACCTCCGACTAAAGTCCACACTGATTAAATTTCACCTGGTGAGCTTTTTGCTAAAAGCATACGGATCGATGTTGTAAAGTAATTTCAGCCACAAGAGAGCAGAGGTGGGAATAAAAAGCGTTTATCAAAAAGTAGCAGAATTGCCCTTTAACGTTTCAACCAATAGGAATCATCCAAGCAGATGTTGCCGACCAATCAGCGACGAGCTTTCTCCGCCTTGCTGTGTCTACTGTGTTTTTTTCCACTCTCTCTCTCTCTCGGTAAACCTTGGTTGAAAGTTACGCTGCAATAAGCAGGAAAATGTTGTGTAAATGTGTGTTTTTTGAGTTTTTTGTAGACGCAACGAATGTTAGCTGCGCTAACTACTGAGACAGAGAGACAGGGAAAAGAAGACGTGTCTTTGGAGAGAGAGGGGCCGCATGTTTCAGCCTTTCCCGATTAATTTTCTTCGGACGTAGAAAAATTTCGGCAGTTTTGACGGACGCTGGTGAGCTGACACTATTTTATTCACATTTGAGTTAAAACGCTGTTTGCTGTCCGTAAAAAGCAGGCAAATGACAGTGTTTGTTTCATTACCTGGTTGGGTTTAGATKTTTTATTAATTTTTTTGATCGACGAGACATTTTTGTACCAGCTGGGCCTCCGTCCTGCAAGCCTGTTAAAGTTATTCTTAGTGTTCAGCTTAAATTATTTGTTTTTACCATTAAAATGAAACTGTGGCTTGTTTTACCTGTCAAACCTAATCTTTGGCTGGAAGTCTGTTTTTTCTTTTTGATTTTAAGCAGGAGATGATTCAAATATTGGGTTTCCTGTCAGCTTTTTTATGCTCTTACTCTATTTTCAGCCAATTTACCTAAACCTGTGTGACTTCAGATTATGTTTTTCTCTTTTGGACTTATCTCTGATCAGGGAGCACAGTGGCCTTTTCAAGGTCAGTTTTTTGTTTTAACAAAATCCACAAGTTCATTAGTCAGACAGATGTCACAAAGACATGTCCATAAAAAAAACCCCATAAATTCACACATTATTTTCCTCATCTCAATGATTGTGTCACTAAATTAAAAACTTATAAGCACAACGTCTGAACAGATGAAGTGGTGAATAATTCAATTTTAAAAGTTGCTTAGAATAAAGAATTTTGATACGTTGTTACGCATGTATGCCCAAATTTGTTATAAACGTTTTATTTACATTGAGCGCATGCCTGCATTCCAGAATTACCTATCAATAAACATGCAAAACTACTGGAGTAAATTGCTACAAAATGCACCATTTGATATAATTTATGATAACCTTTTCTATGTTTCAGTATTTTGCCATGAATACATATAATGTAGTGCTGAAAAGTGTAAGTGTAAATAAAAAAATCCCTCATTTTATGAAGACAATCCTACACCGAAACGATTTTGTTGCAACAACATAATAGAGTATTGTGTCATGACATGTAGACAGTATTTCTAAAGGTAAAGCTATTTTTTTGGCAAATAAAACCAGTAAGTTTTTTTTTTCTGGATAAATAAGAGGATTAAAATAAAACAACWGTCAGTTGTGGACTAAAATCAAAACCATCTGTTTTATTCAGTAAAGCAATAAAACTAATTCAAACATCTCTTAAGTCCCACTTATCAGTAGCAAAAATCTTATTTTTCCCACRCGCCCATGAGAAGTAAGCAAGTTGAGGCAATAACTTGCCCATCACATCATATTTAAGAGAGAAAAATATGTTTTCTTGTCCAGATGAAGCAGTTTCAGGCCTGTTTGGTGGGTGGGGTGGGGGGCGTCAGCGGGTTTAATCTCTGTATTAATTTACTGTTCATGGATCCAAGTAGACTTTGCGTGGCTTAAGTCAGGCACCTTTTTATTCTCRCATCCAATGGTGTCCTCATTTCCAGCCGTTTTTCTTTTCTAGCCCTGATCATCAGAGGTTCATTTATTTTTTTCCAGGAAGAGCCCTCCAGCTAAAGAGGGGCCGCGGCTCCCAACGTGGCATCCAGATGTTAGGCTCCCTCCTCGTCCAGTCTAAACATGAAACATGGAGAGGAAAAAAAAAACTTGGAGAATGGTGGAAAAAAAATGTGCTCCTATTTCACAAAGTCTGTTAAATACTGCTTGAATTGGCACGTGGAAACAATCTGTAAATAGCCTATGCTTGAGTGATCATTTGCGTTACTTTTACTACTTGAGGAAGTTTTTGTATTTTCAGTTTAGGCTAAGAGGAAGCAGATTAGGGCTTATTCTGACGAAACTGCTTGCAAAAGCTAAATGGGGAAGTTAAAAGGTGTCTCGCTTTGTTATTAGTAATATGAGCTTTGAGAAATATTGCTCAGTGTTTGTGTGCGACAGAAACTGTCAAGACGAATAAAAACAGAAGAAAGCTGTAATTAGTGGGATCGGATACATTGCCTGAGTGCGCGGGATTCTGCAGTGAACTTTGATATGGCTTCGGTGGCTCCCCAGAGGGAAAATGTAACACAACAGCTTTTAGGATGAAAAACTGGATGCATTTCCAACCCTCGGAAAATATGTGCAAGTCTGCTGGGYATCATAATGGTTAGCACATGCAGAGCCATGACTAAGCTTTAAAGCTCTTAAAGAAAACTGCACCGTGGACATTGTGAAACAAGAACTCTTTTGATGCTTAGTTGACAAACACTGAAGTGTTTTTATGTGTTTAGGTGGGAATCATGGTTAAGAGACGTGGCTGGCTGTGGAGCGCAGTGGGTTTGGATCCTGCAGAGGCGTGAGGAGCCACCTCAGCCTGCAGCATCTCATCTGTGGACTCATCCATGTCGTCTTGATTGTTGGCTTCCACCCTGACTAACTGAATTTTAAGACTCTGATTTTACCTGCCCCCAAATACGATTTGACGTGCTCCCGACTTCCGAACAGCCATGAGAAGCACCAGAATAAACCTGCTGGTGGGCTGCATGCTCCTCTGCTCCGCCTCCCTGCTCTACTGGGTCATGACCGGGATGGACTGCCCTCGAAAAAGCCACCGCCACCGATGGATGGAGCTCACTCTGGGCTCGGGCAATCAGAGCGCGCTCCTCGCCGAGCACTTCCCCGAAGACACGCCCATCATTTTCATCGGGGGCTTCCCCAGGAGCGGCACCACGCTGATGCGCGTCATGCTGGACGCCCACAAAGCTGTGCGGTGCGGCGAGGAGACCCGGGTGATACCCCGCCTCCTGGCCATGAGGGCCACCTGGAGTCGTTCGGTGAAGGAGAGGATTCGACTGGATGAAGCCGGCGTCACCGACCAGGTGTTGGACTCAGCTGTGCGAGCGTTTCTGCTAGAGGTAAAAGCCCGAAACCGTCATCTATATTATTAAACTGTAACATCTAATTCCTTAGCTGTGTTTTTTTAACCGACTACATTTTTTCTGTCGACACAAATTAACTATTTCAACTGCTTTTATTTTTGGTATTCATGTCTGCTCAGTTTCTAAAGGATGATTCTTACATAAAAAACAAATCTTAATAGTTTTATAGTAAGAAACAATAGTAGAAAAGAAAAAAAACAGCACTTTTTTGCATTTTCATCCCAGATAATAGTTGGCCATGGGGAACCTGCACCTCGCCTCTGCAACAAGGACCCKTTCACATTGAAGTCTCTGTCATATTTAGCTCGCATCTTTCCCAAAGCGAAATTTATTCTCATGCTACGAGACGGACGGGCAACTGTTCATTCAATGATATCACGCAAGGTAAGTTTTCTTTCTTTGTGTTTTTATTTATTTATTGTTGGGGCAGACAAACATCCTCRCAGATCATTGTACGAGAAATTTGTGCTGATGCTGCAGTTTCTGTGAGGAGTTTATGGCCTGGCTACAGGGATGAAACAATGTTAGTGTTTAGCACTGTTTCCACACACTAAGAGAACTTGAATTTGCCCTTTTTTGAGTTCAAATGGTGTATTTAAGGTACATAAGATCTTTCTATGTCGATTTTACTTCGTCTATCCTAGGCTAGCTGTAGCTTTAAGCGTAATSCCTGGTTCAGACGGCAAGATTTGAAAATTGTCGGTTGATTTTTGAAACCTGAGACCACWCAATGATAAAAACTCRTAGAAACAACAGGTTTGATCCTGCAGTGTGTGGTGTACAGCYATGGCAAAGACAACACGCATGAACAGATTTCACTCAGGAACGTTCAGATGTCAGATGGGAAATCTCGCGAGAACTCTCGAGATCACACGTGAGTTCAGAGAACGTAAACATGGCCGACAGGAAGAAGCAATTTTCGACAGTTTGTGGACTATTTTGAACAGAGAGAGAGGAAAAAAAGTACTTACTGGTACGCCATGGCAGTTTTTGGATTCTGTATTTTAGATTCCCTCCTGTGTTTCCTTCCCCTCGCCTTCTGATTGGCTACACGTCACATTCAACAGGCTKCAGGTTGTTTGTCCTCGGGAAACACCACACACGCTGGGATATGGGGCCAAGACAATCCAACATGYTGAATGTCACAGAYGGAGTGGTCCCGATGTCCCTCCGAGCCGACTAGATCACTCTTAACACACAGCTTTAGTCATCACTATAACCAGGGCGTATTTAAAGGGATCCACGATTAGTTGTAACATTAAACTTTATTTGATAAACATATATTTTAACTGTAAAATAAAGACTGTAAAAATACTGTAGGCTGTTTAGTTTTGTAAATTTTTAAAAATATATTTTAACACGGACAGGACATGCAAAGCATTCTGGGTAAATGATGATGTGGATAGGTCCTCAGTGCGAGGCTGCTAGCGAGCTATATCC